GGCCTCACTGAGCTACGTTTGTTCACCTTTGTCACTCTGATCCCAAACCAGAGGCTTCCGAGTACCCCTGCAGGTTTCTAAGATGGCAGTGGACCTTTTGTGGCCCCCTAGCTTGAAGTCCCCACATGGCGCCCACTGCTTTCAATATAAAGCCCAGGTGCTGTCTCAGAGCTGACAGCGCCCTCCAGAACCCGGGCTGCCCACTGCCCCTAGCCTCTGGGCTTTTCCCATGCCTGTCCTCCTGGATGTCCTCTCCCTCTTTCTTTCCTGGCTGAGTCTTCCACATCCTGCAAGACTCCACAGGGCCTCCCCTGAGCAGGATGAGCCCGGCTCCCCTAGTCCTCTGCATCCCTCTATTTGAATAGCAACCCAGGAGGAATGGCACGTCAGAGGACAGACCGTGGGCTTTAATCGGGCTTGAGGATTGTGACCTCCGGCCAGCTATTAAACCCCTGCCTGCCTCCATTTCTGCACCTCTAAAACGAGGCTGATAATAAAGGCACCTCCCTCAGGGGCTATTTTCCTAACTGAAGGGGTTAATATAGGTAACCTGCTTAGAACAGTGCCCAGTATAGCTTAAAGCTTAATAAATGTTAGCTTTGGCCATATGGTATTGGAATTGTTTATACATCTGTCCCCTCCACCCCAACACACACACGCAACCTAAACTGTCTACTCCAGTAGCCACTATCTATATATTAAATTCAAGTAAATTAAATTTAAAATTATTTTTTTTTTTGAGATGGAGTTTCACTCGTTGCCCAGGCTGGAGTGCAATGGCACAATCTCGGCTCACCGCAAACTCCACCTCCTGGGTTCAAGCGATTCTGCCTCAGACTCCCTAGTAGCTTGGATTACAGCACCTAATTTTGTAGTTTTTAGTAAAGACAGAGTTTATCCATGTTGGTCAGGCTGGTCTTGAACTCCTGACCTCAGATGATCATCCCGCCTCAGCCTCCCAAAGTGCTGGAATTACAGGCGTAAGCCACCATCCCTGGCCTCATTAAGTTTTTAAAAATTAAAAATCCAGTTCCTTAGTCACACTAGCCACATTTCAAATGCTTAACAGCCACGTGAGTCCAGTGGGTACCATAATGGGCAGCACAGCTAGAAAACATTCCCATCACAGCAGACAGTTCCAGTGGGTACCCTAAAGGAAGCACCCCACTAGACTGTGAACTTGAAGGTGGGGAATTCTGTCACTCATCTTTGGGCCCCCCAGTGTCTAACCTGGTGCCTGCTACATAGCAGACCATACTGTATGAGCATCTGGATCGCATAATTTTATAGGTTCTGTAAGGAAACTTTCTAAGAAAGCAAGTAAACTGCTGAGGGTCACACAGAGATTTCAGGTCCATGTCCCTTCCAAGTGAACATTCTATGACTGCCCAGCTTTCTCCCCAAGGCATCTCCCTCCCTGGCCTTCCGAAGTGGCCTGACCCAGTGTCCCCCTTCTCCTTGGAAACTGGCTTTCTGCTCTGGTCCCTGGGGATCCCTGTCCCTGGTCAGGCCACTGCAGCCCCTCTCTCCCTCCAGGGGCCCGCTCCCAACCCTTGGTGCAGTTCCAGCGCCGGGCTGCTCGCCTACCTGTCAGCTCCACCTACAGCCACCTCTGGGCCTCGCTCACGCCTGCCAGCACCCAGCAGGAAATGCGGGCTTTCCCTGCCTTCCTGGGCACTGAGGCCTCCAGCTCAGGTAACCTGGGTGCCCAGCGTGGATGGGGTCTCCCTGGGCCCAGGATCAGCCCTCAGCCCTGTGCCCTCATCCCTCAGGCAATGGCTCCTGGCTGGAGCTGATGCCCCTGGCTGCTGTGAGTGTGCACCTGCTGACAGGTAATGGGACAGAGGTGCCACTCTCAGGCCCCATTCACCTGTCCCTGCCTGTGCCCTCTGAGACTCGTGCCCTGACCGTGGGCACCAGCATTCCAGCCTGGAGATTCGACCCCAAGAGTGGTAAGTACCTCAGGGGGTTGCAGGTGCTGGAGCTGAGAGCAGAAAGTGGGACTTGAGTGGGAGGGACTCAAGTGTGACAAATCCCCGACCTCTCCCAGGGCTGTGGGTGCGCAATGGCACTGGTGTAATCCGGAAGGAAGGCCGGCAGCTCTACTGGACCTTTGTCTCCCCCCAGCTGGGGTACTGGGTGGCCGCCATGGCCTCTCCAATGGCTGGTAAGAGTGGTGGGGCAGTGGGGGTACAAGGCATGGGGGAGCGGACTGGGAGACTGGACTTCTGAAAGGCAGGAAGGGCATCCACACCTGGACGCTAAGCCCTCACCTGGCACAGGGCTGGTCACCATCACTTCGGGCATCCAGGACATTGGCACCTACCACACCATCTTCCTGCTCACCATCCTGGCAGCCCTGGCCCTGCTGGTGCTCATCCTGCTCTGTCTGCTCATCTACTATTGCCGGTGAGCACCAGGCTTACCCCACCTTCCTCTCCTCTCCTTTCCTCTGACTGAGGCCTGCACCTGTACAGGGCCCTGGGGCCCCAAAAATGCATAAAATCCACTTCTGGTCCTCAAAGGACAGACAGGAAAACTTCCTGCACACATGAAGGACCTGAGGGGCTGGTGCTTGTGGCTGAAGATAGCAGGGAGGTGGGGGGGAGGCAGGGCCCCTCCAGAGAGATCTGCCACTGCCCCTACTAGCCCTGCTCTCGCTCCCAGAGGACTCCAGGCCGGAGACACCCACAGACAGCTTCGGTGCTCCTCCCGGTTCTCACAGCACGCCTACATGCAAAGAAGTGCAGAGTTTACCTCCAGGGGAACCCCAAACGGACACGGCTCCCCGCCATCTCTCCTGAGTGCCCAGGCATTCTCCCCACCTCTTCCACTACATTCATCCCTTGTCTTGCATCTGAGGGGGTTCGAGGCCTACTCTGGCCCTCACCCTTTCCTGAGAGGCCCCCTCTGCTCCCTCTCTTCCAGGAGGCGCTGCCTGAAGCCGAGGCAACAGCACCGCAAGCTGCAGCTCTCGGGGCCCTCAGACGGTAACAAACGAGACCAGGCCACCTCGATGTCCCAGCTCCACCTCATCTGCGGGGGACCCCTGGAGCCCGCCCCGTCGGGGGACCCGGAGGCTCCGCCACCAGGCCCCCTCCACTCGGCCTTCTCCAGCTCCCGGGACTTAGCCTCCTCCCGAGACGACTTCTTCCGCGCCAAGCCGCGCTCTGCCAGCCGCCCGGCCGCCGAGCCTTCGGGTGCCCGTGGGGGCGAGAGCGCCGGGCTCAAGGGCGCGCGCTCGGCCGAGGGCCCTGGCGGGCTGGAGCCCGGCCTGGAGGAGTACCGGCGGGGGCCCTCGGGGGCCGCGGCTTTCCTGCACGAGCCGCCCTCGCCGCCGCCGCCGCCGCCCTTCGACCACTACCTGGGCCACAAGGGGGCGGCCGAGAGCAAGACCCCCGACTTCCTGCTGTCGCAGTCAGTGGACCAGCTGGCGCGGCCGCCGTCGCTGGGCCAGGCGGGGCAGCTTATCTTCTGCGGTTCCATCGACCACCTCAAGGACAACGTCTACCGCAACGTCATGCCCACCCTGGTGATCCCCGCGCACTACGTGCGCCTCGGCGGCGAGGCGGGAGCCGCGGGCGTGGGCGACGAGCCGGCCCCGCCTGAGGGCGCGGCCCCCGGCCCGGCGCGCGCTTTTCCCCAGCCCGACCCCCAGCGCCCGCAGATGCAGGGCCACTCGGGCGCGGGGGGCGAGGGCGGCGGCGGCGGCGGCGGCGAGGGCTGGGGGGGCGGGCGCGCGGCGCCAGTCAGCGGCTCGGTCACCATCCCGGTGCTGTTCAACGAGTCCACCATGGCGCAGCTCAACGGGGAGCTGCAGGCGCTGACCGAGAAGAAGCTGCTGGAACTGGGCGTCAAGCCGCACCCGCGAGCATGGTTCGTGTCTCTCGACGGGCGCTCCAACTCGCAAGTGCGTCACTCTTACATCGACCTGCAGGCGGGCGGCGGGGGGCGCAGCACCGACGCCAGCCTGGACTCGGGTGTCGACGTGCACGAGGCGCGGCCCGCGCGCCGCCGGCCCCCGAGGGAGGAGCGAGAGCGCGCCGCGCCTCCGCCGCCACCCGCGCCCCCGCGCCTGGCGCTCAGCGAGGATACCGAGCCCAGCAGCAGCGAGAGTCGCACGGGCCTCTGCTCTCCCGAAGACAACTCGCTGACGCCGCTGCTGGACGAGGTGGCGGCGCCCGAGGGCCGGGCGGCCACGGTACCCCGGGGGCGGGGCCGCAGCCGCGGGGACAGCTCCCGCAGCAGCGCTAGTGAGCTGCGGCGCGACTCGCTCACTAGCCCGGAGGATGAGCTGGGGGCAGAGGTGGGCGACGAGGCTGGAGACAAGAAGAGCCCGTGGCAGCGGCGGGAGGAGCGGCCGCTGATGGTGTTCAATGTCAAGTAGCGCCCGCGCCGGGCCTGGCACCGCCCCTTCTGCGCGGGTGCGCGCCCTGGGGGCCTGTGGGGCCCTCATGCGTTGCCCCCAGCCCTAGGCCCGAGAGGGGCCCAGGGGCCTCGGAGCCGTTCCGTGGTAGGTGCCGGGTTGTGTCTTACAAGGGACCCTGTGTCTGCCTCCAAGCCGGGGAGGAGGGGGGTCCAGCCCTCATGGGGAGGTGCCGGGGAGGAGGGCTGGGGGGAAGCAGTGCCTGTGTAGTGTGGCTGTATATAGAAAGCTCTATTGTGGGAAAGCAGGAGGGGTGACCCAGCCTCAGCTGCTAGTGTGAGGGCTGGGAAGGGCGGGGGCGTTCTCTATGGCCCCCTGGGAGGGGTTGGGAGTGCTGCTTGCTGACTAGCCCACCTCTGGGCTACGATGTCACAGGGCTGGTGGCTGGGGCAGCTCTGGGGACTAGGGGGTAATGTGATGACGGCGGCTGTGGGCAGCAGCAAATATAAACTGGTGAGGTTAAGGCCGTGTGTGTCTTTCTGTGGGGAAGGGGAGGGGAGTGCTGGCAGTGGAGCGAACTCTGGCTCTGGGGCCCTGGGGAATGCAGGCAAGGCGGCAAATCAGACGCTGTTAAGAAAGTGTACAAACTTTATTGGAACGCGCACGCGCACACGCACACACACACCCCTGTGAATAGGGAAAAGCACCTGGCCACAGGGTCTACAGAAACGGGGAGGAGATGGCAGCTTGTAATGTGGCTTTTGCCACAACCCCCTTCTGACAGGCAAGGCCTTAGATTGAGGCCCCACCTTCCATGGTGATGGGGAGCTTAGAATGGGGGCCAGGGAGAATTTGGTTGGGGAGAGGTGCTAGGGAGGCCTGAGCAGAGGGCACCCTCCAAGTGGGGTCCTGAGGGCTGCAGAGTCTTCAGTCCTGTCCCTCACAGCAGCTGTCTCAAGGCTGGGTCCCTCAAAGGGGTGTCCCAGTGCAGGGTTTCCCTGCGCAAACACTTGGTGCCCTTGGCTGAGCAATGGAAGCCGGCAGGACAGCAGTGGCGCTGATCGGCACAACAGACACCCTGGATGGTCAGAGTGGAACAAGAGGGTTGGACATGGCGGGACTGGGTCCCTGGCCATACCGAGCCCCAGGGTGGGGGGTGTCACTGACCTGGCGGTAGGGACAGCAGGCCCAGCCCCCTTGGCTGTCTCGGCAGCAGGTCTGGTCATCATGGCAGAAGTGCCCTGCCCCACATTCCACGTCCCTCATGCCCACATGAGGGCCACGGGCCAGGAAGGTGGCAGGCTGGGCAGAGACCACTTCCTTCTCGCAGGATCGGGCCTTCACGTTGCAGGTATAGCCAGCTGGGCAGCAGTGCTGGCGATCCTCACAGCACACAGCCTGGTGGGGAGAGGGTGCAGAATGGCATTATGTTCCTGTCCCCTCGCCGGGCTTAGCTCCCTTATCCAGGGGAAGGCAGGGAGGCACTCACATGGGGCAGCTGGCAGCAGGCCCAGCCCCCGCCCAGGCTCGGGCAGCAGGTCTGTCCAACTGGACAGCTGGTGTGCTGGTCGCAGCCGATGTCTCTGGGGTGGGATCCGGAAGCCCGGCGGGCAGGCATCTTCTCCAGCCCAGCCACGATCTTGGGTCCCCGATGACACTGCCCCTCAACGACACACGTGTAGCCCTGGGGGCAGCAGTGCTGGTGGTCCGAGCAGCAGACAGCCTGGGGGTGGGCAGAAAAGGCCATTCTAGGTAGCCACATGTGGGGCACAGCGTCGAGCCCCTACCTCTCCAGCCCGCCTTTGCTGCTTATAGCATCTCCAGCTGGGGATGAATCTGACAGAGCTGAGTGCCACCTATGGGTGAAGCAGAGGGCAGAAAGCAAGAGGAGTCTGGCCACCACCTTCCCAGGCCAAGGTGCTGTCCTCTCCCATGTACCTCTGGGGCTGAACAGCAGCCCCACTCCCCAGACATGAGTTGGCAGCAGGTATTGGAGGGGGGACAGCTTGTGACGTTATCACAGGGGACGTCTCTCTTCAAGGCTTGCGGGTCCAGCAGGCTGAGGTGAGCTGGGGCCTTCTCCATCCAGGGTACCTGGTGGGTCCCCTGTTCACAGGTACCCTTCTGTGTGTCACACGTAAACCCTGAGGGGCAGCAGTGTATGTGGTCCTCACAGCACACAGCCTATGGCAGACAGGAAGGGCCAGTGGGCACTGGGGTCCAGCTGGCTGCCACAGTGCTCAGTCCACCCACCCACCACCCCTGAGTACCTGTGTAAAAGGGCAGCAGCCCCAGGCCCCCGACTGTAGGCGGCAGCAGGTGTAACCATCTGGGCAGCTCACCTCCATGTCGCATTTCACATCACCCACTGTGAGGAAGGCAGAGAGGACCCTCAGGGGTATCCACCCTTTGCCACCTCCACAGCTGGAACCAGGTGTTGAAGATGGAGGGTACCATTTACGCCACCGTGCAGTGATCTTACTGCCAGGCCCAAAATGGAGGAAAGGGGCCCCTCCCCTGAATCTGTGCCTGCCTCTGGTACCTGTGTGCGCAGGCAGCTTGGTGAGGAGGTCCGTAGCATGCTCCTTGGAGAGGCACTTATTCTGGATCAGGTCACACACAGTGTTTTGGGGGCAACAGTGCAGGTGGTCGGAGCAGCAGGTGGCCTGAGTGGGACAGGGGTGGGTTTTTGTCACTTCTAGGCTCAGTAGCGCACAGGGAGCAGCCAGTCTGATGGCTGGCACTGCCCCAATCCCCCACTAGGGGGTGGCATGAGTCCAGCATCAGCCAGGCTCCCAGCAAGGAGCCAGCCAGCCCTAGGCCCCAGAGCCCCTGTAAGGTGCATGTCAGGGCCAGGTGGCTGGGGGCACACAGCCAAGCTGGCTCCAGCCCCTCACTCACATTGGGCATTGGGCAGCAGCCATACTTCCCACTGGGCAGCTCACAGCAGGTAGAACCATCAGGGCACTGGGACCGTGCATCCGGACACATGACCGAGCTGGACAAAGCCACTGGAAGAGGAGCAAGCATGACGGGCACCCAGGGTGGAGGGGACTTTTTCCCACACTTGGAGTCAAAGTGAGGCACCGCCCCAGCCCCGACCTGATACTCTCCCACTTCTTCACCTGCCCTATTAGTCCTCTGTGCAGGGATCTTCTTTGCCAGAGGATGGGTGCCCGTGGGTGTGACGCATCGGATGTGAACCAGGTCGCAGGAGGCACCATGCGGACAGCAGTGCACCCTGTCTTCACAGCAAGAAGCCTGAGGAAAGACGGTCCTGACTCTGTCTTCACCCCCCTGCCCCCAGCCCCCACCCTCTGCCCCTACCTCCCTCCACATACCCCCATCTCCCCAGATTTGTACCTGGGGCATGGGACAGCACCCCCAGGAGCCATCAACCATAATGCAGCATGTGGAGGAGTCAGGGCATTCAAATTGGCTATCAGGGCACTGGACGGCACCCATGGAGTTGTTACCTGTGGACCAGATGACCCAGGATTCTACCAATCCACTCAGGGAAAGTGACTCCCCCATCACGCAAGAGCTAGTGGCACCAGAGTCTGCAGGCCCAGCTACTGGGGCTTGGGGGTGACACTAGGGCTCAGTAATCTAGGCATGCCTAACTCACCCTCCTCACGGTCCAGCCCCTCCCTCAGCAAGGTGGCATGGGGCAGGAGCATCCATTGACCATGTTGGTATTAGACTGGCCCAGCCCAACCTCCCCCACCCCCACAATGCCTGGGCCTGGAGTTTTGCACTTTCTCCTGCCCCCTCCTGTCCCCAGTGCTGCCCTTCTATCCGCAGCAGGGGTGTTGCTTAGTACAGATGCCACACATGAATGAGGGCACGAGAGCAGGAATCGGGGCTACCCAGCCAGCTGGGCTCCTGGGTTCCAGGCTCTACATGCTGCCCGTCTGCCCTGCACCCGCACCCTGGCTGCACCTGATCTTTGGAAGCAGGATTGCCCTTCTGCACTGCAGTGGAAGCCCCTTGGGCAGCAGTGATGGCCATCCCCGCATGCCACAGCCTGTGGGACACAGAGAAGCCTGCATTAGCAAGGCCCTTTTATCTGCAGGTAGGAGAGTGCAGGAAAAGCATAAATGAAAACATGAGTCCCTCCATCAGGCTGATGGCACGCTTACCTCTGGGAAGGGGCAGCAACTGGAAGTCCCTGAGACAGTGAGGAGGCAAGAGTGGCCGGCAGAGCAGTGGGCATCAACCTGGCAGGGGCCACCCAGAGGCCTGCTCAGTGTTGTGGGCCATTTATCCTGGAAAGACAGGGGAGATGATAAACCACAGACTGGCATCTGGCATCCTCCTCCGGCAATCCAAGATGACCCTTTGGGAAAACCCAGGCTTCCAGCTCTTGCCTAGGCTGAGGGGCGCTCACCAGAAGGGGGCTGCAGCAGCTGTAGCTGGCTCCTCCGGGGTCCAGGCAGCAGGCCACAGGGCAGAACTGACCATCTGGGCACCAAGTTCCAGCCACCAGCCCTGCTGTTAAGGCCACCCAGCTCACCAGGGTCCACATGGTCTGCCTGCAAAGTACCAAGGAGCATCTGGCAACTGCTTAAGCCCATTCCACCCTTGATTCTGAGGCCACTCAGTCCCCCAGCCCCAGGCCAAGGTCCTGGCCTGGGACTGCCTGAGCCTCTTCAACACCTCCCTGTCCAGGCAGGCAAAAAGCTGCAGGGGCTAAGTCGGCTGACTACAGCGCCCTGTGTGTGACACACGCCTCAGCGCGTGCGGACCTGTGAGCATGAATGCTGACATGTGTATACCTGTGCGTCTGAATCCCCAACGCATGGTCTAACAGCTGGGCCTCGCTGGGCAGGCTTACAAGTCAGGAAGATGTGATTTTTGGGGGTCTGATCTGTGCAGATGTGGGATATCTCTGAGGTGAGGGGAAGGCATCAGTAGCCATGGGAGAGGACAGGGCTGGAGGGCAGAGAGGGAGTCCCCCCCCAAAAAACCAGGGTTCCCCTCCAGATGCCTCCTTGCCTGACATCATGTTCATACCTGTACCCCAGTAAGGCTTGCGGGAAGCAGCCACATGAGGACATGAGAAACCACAGGGGTGAGAAGGTTGTGAAAAAGGAAGTATGGTGGCTAGCAGAGTCTGGGCTGCCCTCCCCAGAGGCCAGTCACCACCTGCCATTAATGTCCCCTCCTCGCCAAGGGAAAGGGACACAGGCTGAGTCAGCCTTTGAGACACCTGTGTTCTGAGGGTCCCCCACACCTCTAGGGCCCTCTGAGATTCCCCAAGCATGCTAATCCCCATCCCTGCCTCTCCCTCTATTCTGGAAGTGAAACTCAGCCACATGTGGAGAGAGACCACGTGTGACCACTGGGCTGCCCATCTGAGTCACCAGGAGGAACTGAGCCTTGAGTCTCTGTGGGGAGCAGCCTCTCACTTCCTAAACAACTCTTCTCCCAGGCTCAGCTAGCCCAGCTAGCTCAGGGGGGTGGCCAGAGAGGTTACACAGCCTGAAGGAGTGAAAACAGTCTTGTAACTGGCTTCTAAGCCAGTTACAAGACACTTCATATTTTATTTCTGTGCAACCACCATCCAAAGTAGTAATTAACATCTTTACTTTTATTTTAGAGATGAGGTATTGCTATGTTACCCAGGCTGGACTCAAACTCTTGGGATCAAGCAATCCTCCCACCTCAGCCTCCCAAGTAGCTGCGACTTCAGGTGCGTGCCACCACACCTGCTCATTTTTTTTTTGAGACGAAGTTTTGCTCTGTCGCCCATGCTGGAGTGCAATGGCATGATCTCGGCTCACTGCAACCTCTGCCTCCTGGGTTCAAGTGATTCTCCTGCCTCAGCCTCCTGAGTAGCTAGGACTATAGGCACATGACACCATATCCAGCTAATTTTTGTATTTTTAGTAGAGATGTGGTTTCACCATGTTAGCCAGGATGGTCCTGATCTCTTGACCCGGTGATCTGCCTGCCTCAACCTCCCAAAGTGCTGGGATTACAGGCATGAGCCACCGCATCCAGCTACCACACCGTTTTATATAAGGGACTTGAGCATCTGCAGATTTTGGGGTCCTGAACCCAGTTCCATGAAGGGACACCTATAACACGTCACACATCAGGTCATTGTGACAACAGGCTTTGATGGGCCCAGAACATATTGGACCTGGGTTCATATTACTAGCGGCACGATGGACAGTGCCTGGAAATGGACCCTAAGCCCCAGGGGGATAGATGCATCAGGTAGGACAAAAACGGTACAGGGACTGCCTGGAAATCGCACTTGGGTCCTAATCCTAGAATTGCCAACTGTGATGGCCTGAGAAGTTGCTCCCTGTCTGTGCCTCAGTTCCCCCAGGAGTCTCTGTGTGGACACCACTGTGGGGGAGTGGCAGGAAATCTCCCCACCCAGTCACTCACACCCTCTGCTCCACCTGGCTTTCCTCAAGTGCCCCTCCCCTAAGTCAACATCCCCAAGAGGCCACCTCCTGGCCAGATAAGGGTGAAGTTGACTGGTACTGGACAGTGGACCCTCTCCTCAGCCTCACAGCTCCTGGGCAAAGCACCTGCAGCTGGCACCACATGCTTCCTGGGTGTTCTCAGCAGGCTGTCTGCTGCCCTGGCTTGCTGGGAAGGGGAGCCTGTCTGCACAGGACTGTTCGGCTCCCTGGTGAGTTACCTGTGCATGTGCCCCCTCCTGTTTACACTGAGTTGAAGGAGTATACTGTACGTTTCTACTCAATACATGCACGGGCATACAGAAGCAGGGATGAGGAGGAGAGCCAAACACACCCTCTCATCGCCACCCTACACCACCAAAACAGCCAGAAAGGACAGCAGCCTCTTCAAGCCCTAGCTCTGTTATCTTCCACTAGGTGGCACTCCCCGACTCCGAGTGCCAAGCGGAGAGGAAATTCCCAAAAGGGGAGCCAACCTCGCTGCAAATGAGCAGGAAAAGGTGGCTGGGAGAGGCGGAAGTTAGCTCGTCCCACCCCCTACAAGAGGAAGTAAGGAGGAGCCAGACCAGGTTCTGTCACCACTCCCAAGTCCCTACTACCTTCGAGAAGCCAAAGTCTCAGGTCCGATTCCCAGGCCCTTGGAGCTCCCAGCCCAGGGTCGCGCGCCCCTCTGGCTCCAGGCTGCCGCGGGGACCACCCAGCACCACCGCGAGAGGGGAAGACGCCGGCACCTACCGATAGCGGTAGATCTGGCGCAAGAATGGCGTGGTCCCTGCTTTGGGGGAAAGGACTTCAGCTTCCCGGAATGCTGGGGAGGGAGAGCCCCCTTCTAACGGGGGTCACTGCAATTACTGCTTCCTCTCCCCCATATAACTCCTTCCAGTGTATAGGAACGCCCAAAGGAGTTTCAATAAGCGGGTATTCTGTCGTCTCCGGCTGATACTCCAGGGTAACCCCAAGCGCACATGGCCCTGGCCAGGCCCCTGGGTAGGAGAGGTCTGCGCGGCCGCCCTCCTACCTGCGTTCGGGTCCGCGGTCCCTGGGTAGCAGCAGCCAGTCAAGCAGCTCACGGACTACAAACCCCAGCGCGATGACCCGCCCACCTCAGTTTCCATTGGCCAGAGGTCCGGGATACGACGCTTCCATTGGCTACTTATCGACGTAGAGGCGGGGCCAGCCTGGGATGCTGTGTTTTTTTTCTACTCAAATCACTCACCTCCCGGCTTCCTTTCGCCCCACACCCCATTTCTAGGGATCATGTGATTGGGGAATCATGTGACGCCGGGCCAGCCTCAACAGGGCAGCCGGTGCTCTCCTTGCTGCCTTCCCACACCCATCCTGCAGGCGCCTGGGGGAGTTTGCTAGAGATGATAGCGTGTGTGGGGCATTGGGAATATTTGTGCTCTCCTTTTTATTTTTCTTTTCTTTTTTTTTTTTTAATTTCCCCTTTCTATTTTTTAGAGTGATGGTTGCCCTAGCTGATCATAGCTTACTACAGCCTGCAACTCCTGATCCCAAAGCGATCTTCCCACTGCAGCCCCTCAAGGCGCTGGGATTACAGGCGTGAGCTACCGGGCTGGCTCCTTCGCTCCCATTCTATCCTGCCCTGCCCTGCCCTGTCCCGTCCTGCCCTATTCTGCAAACTCGGATGACATGCTAGGCAGGCCCCAGACGGAGTTGAAGGATGGATTTGAAGACAAAGATAAGCAGCCCCAAGCCCTTTCCTCAAGGAGTCAGCGGGGCGGGAGCGGGGGGCAGGGGTTGGTAGGAGACAGGCTCAAGCTGGATCTTATTTATTTATTTTTGAGACGGAGTTTCGCTCTTGTTACCCAGGCTGGAGTACAATGGCGCGATCTTGGCTCACCGCAACCTCTGCCTCCTGGGTTCAGGCAATTCTCCTGCCTTGGCCTCCTGAGTAGCTGGGATTACAGGCACTCACCACCGTGCCCAGCTAATTTTTTGTATTTTTAGTAGAGACGGGGTTTCACTATGTTGACCAGGATGGTCTCGATCTCTTGACCTTGTGATCTACCCGCCTCGGCCTCCCAAAGTGCTGGGATTACAGGCGTGAGCCACAGCGCCTGGCATTGGATCTAATTTAAGATAAAAGATTGTGCGCAGGTGCCAGGTGTACGGAGTAGATTGGCTTCAAGTGGGGAAAAAGCGGTTTTGTTGTTGTTTTCTTTCTTTCTTTTTTGAGACAGAGTCTAGCTCTGTAGCCCAGGCTGGAGTGCAGTGGCGCGATCTCTGCTAACTGCAACCTCCGCTTCCCGGCAAGCTATTCTCCTGCCTCAGGCTCCCAAGTAGCTGGGATTACAGGCGCCTGGCACCACGCCCAGCTTGCTTGCTTGATTGATTGATATTTAGTAGAGACAAGGGTTTCACTGTGTTGGCCATGCTGGACTCGAACTTCTGACCTCATGATCCACCAGCCTCGGCCTCCCAAAGTGCTGGGATTACAAGCGTGAGCCACCGCGCCGGGCCGGGAGAAGAGAGATTTAATTCCACTTCAGGATCATCTCCTTGAGCTGAGTCTGGGAAGATTTTAACTGGCAGGTGGAGGGAGAGATTTTTGGAAGAGCCCTGGGAAACCAGATGGGAAGGGCAGGCTTGGCAGGGATTGAATGCCACGTTCAAATGACAGTGGGTTTCAGGCGCTGCTGGGTGCCTGGCACAGTCTGGGGTGCAGCAGGGGCTGTCAAAGGGGAAGTGGCTTCCTAGTCTTCATGGTCCTGCCTTCGAGGAATTGATACGGGGGAGTGAGGAGAGAAAATGTACCACAGAACAGATTAGCCAACGACAAGAGTCAGGCTGCTCCATACCAAAGGGCCTGGGCTAGGCAGAGATGGGTGATGGGAGATGGGCCAGGAGAGAGAAGAGCACCAGGGAAAGCCTGTGCTGGGCCAAGGAGGAAGGGCCAGTGTCTGCACAGGGGATGGAGACTGCTGCAGCCTGAGCAAGGAACTGGAGCTGAGGGTGAAGCAAGGGCAGAGGCACAGCTAGCCAAGCTCCAGGCGGCAGGAGTCTGAGCGGGGAAAGGGTGCCGAGCTGTGGAGTCAGGTGGCAGGGATTCTAAGCCTGGAGCTAGAACGGATCTAGACAGCAGATAAGACACCTGGCCTGCTGAGGACCTAGGACTAGTCTGTGCCCTGGTGACACATTTGTGCTGATTTTTCTTCCTGTGTATCTGGAGGCAAGGGAGTACAGTTTATGCTTCTATTGAAATACACAAAAAAAACTTTCATGAAATAATGGGTGAATCAATCAATGAACCTATTAATTATAACCATCCAGAACCAGAAAAAAAATACAGGTAGAAAAAAAAAAAGGTTGGGCTCAGTGGCTCACACCTGTAATCCCAGCACTTTGGGAGGCTGAGGTGGGTGGAACACAAGGTCAGGAGTTCAAGACCTGTCTGGCCGATATAGTGGAACCCCACCTCTACTAAAAAATACAAAAAATTAGCTGGACATGGTGTCAGGCGACTATAATCCAGCTACTTGGGAAGCTGAGGCAGGAGAATTGCATGAACCCGGGAGGCAGAGGTTGCAGTGAGCCGAGATCATGCCACTGCACTCCAGCCTGGACAACATTGCAAGACTGTCTCAAAAATAAATAAATAAATAAATAAAACACCTAAACTGACTGAAACAAATATTACAAAGTCTAATCGTCAAAGTAGTGATTCTTGAGCAGCAGCGATTTTACGGGCCAGGGACATTTGGGAGTGTCTGGAGACAATCTGGGTTGTCACAACTCAGGGTGGAGGGGCACTGGCATCTGGTGGGTAGGGCCAGCAATCCCGTAAACATCACTCAACACTGAACAATACCCCACAACAGAGAAGTATCCTGCTCGAAAGGTCAATAATGCTAAGACTCAAATACCTACTTCACAAACGTTTTTCTCTCTCTCTGTTTTTTATTTTTTTTAATTATTTTTTATTATTTTATTTTTTATTTTTTGAGACGGAGTTTCACTCTTGTTACCCAGGCTGGAGTGCAATGGCACAATCTCGGCTCACCGCAATCTCCGGCTCCTGGGTTCAGGCAATTCTCCTGCCTCAGCCTCCCGAGCAGCTGGGATTACAGGCACGCGCCACCATGCCCAGCTAATTTTTTGTAATTTTAGTAGAGACGGGGTTTCACCATGTTGACCAAGATGGTCTCGATCTGTTGACCTCGTGATCCACCTGCCTCGGCCTCCCAAAGTGCTGGGATTACAGGCTTGAGCCACCGCCCCCGGCCTTTTATTTTGTTTTTTTAACATCAGAGGGGGGCCGGGCGTGGTGGCTCACGCCTGTAAGCCCAGCACTTTGGGAGGCCGAGGCAGGTGGATCACGAGGTCAAGAGATCGAGACCATCCTGGTCAACAAGATGAAACCCCGTCTCTACTAAAAATACAAAAATTAGCTGGGCATGGTGGTGAGCGCCTGTAGTCCCAGCTACTCGGGAGGCTGAGGCAGGAGAATTGCTTGAACGCAGAAGGCGGAGGTTGCGGTGAGCCGAGATTGTGCCATTGCACTCCAGTCTGGGTAACAAGAGCGAAACTCCATCTCAAAAAAAAAAAAAATTAGAGGGGTAAGTTACCATAACAAGGTCTGTAATCCCTACTCGGGAGGCAGGAGAATCGCTTGAACCCAGGAGGTGGAGGTTGCAGTGAGCTGAGATCATACCACTGCACTCCAGCCTGGGCAACAGAGCGAGACTCTGTCTCAAACAACAACAACAACAAAAAATTAAAGGTTGGGCGCGGTGGCTCATGCCTATAACCCCAGCACTTTGGGAAGCCGAGGTGGGTGGATCACGAGGTCAAGAGATTGAGACCATCCTGGTCAACAAGGTGAAACACTGTTTCTACTAAAAATACAAAAATTAGCTGGCCATGGTAGTGCGCGCCTGGAATCCCAGCTACTCGGGAGGCTGAGGCAGGAGAATTGCTTGAACCCAGGAGGCGGAGGTTGCAATGAGCCGAGATCGCGCCATTGCACTCCAGCCTGGGTAACAAGAGCGAAACTCCATCTATCTCAAAAAAAAAAAAAAAATTAAAGATAAATAAAATGTACAACTCAGTGGTGTTTAATGTCTTCAGAGTTATGCAGCATTGCTACAATCAGTTTAAGACCATTTCTATCACTGCAAAAGGCAGCCTTGTACAGTTTAGCTGTCACTATTCCCCCCACCCTCCCTGACTCTAGACAACCATGGATCTACTCTCTACCTCTAGAGATTTGCCTATTTTGGACATTCCATATAAATGAGATTTTATAATATGTGATCTGCAACTGGCTTCTTTCACTTAGCGTCATGTTTTCAGAGCTTATCGTAGCATGTATCCGTATCTCATTTCTTTTTTGTTTGTTTGTTTGAGACAGTCTCACTTCGACACTCAAGCTGGAGAGAAGTGGCACAATCTCAGCTCACAGCAACCTCTCCTTCCTGGATTCAAGCAATTCGCCTGCCTCAGCCTCCTGGATAGCTGGGATTATAGGCAAGTGCCACGACACCCAGCTAAGTTTTATATTTTTAGTTGAGACATGGTTGTACCATGTTGACCAGTTTGGTCTCAAACTCCTGACCCACCTCAGCCTCCCAAAGTTCTGGGACTGCAAGCGTGAGCCACTGCATCTGGCTCTATTTTGTTTCTTTGTTTTTGAGACAGAGCCTTCCTCTGCCGCCCAAACTGGATTACAGTGGTGCCAGCTTGTACTGTAGCCTCAGACCCTCCTAACTCAGCCTCCTGAGTAGCTGAGACTACAGGCACATGCCACCACTCCCAGCTAAATTTTGTATTTTTTTTTTTTTAATTAATATGTTGCCTAGGCTGCCCTAGCCTCAAGTAATCCTGCTGCCTCAGCCTCCCAAAATGCTGACATTACAGATTACAGGTTTGAGCCACTGTGCCTGGCTTCATCATTCCCTTTTTTTTTTTTTTTTTTTGAGACAGGGTCTTGCTGTCACCCAGGTTGACGTGCAGTGGTGCCATCTCCACCTCTGCCTCCCAGCCTCAAGCGATCCTTCCACCTTGGCCTCCCAAGTAGCTGGGACTACAGGCGCGTATCACCATGTCCCGCTGATTTTTGTATTGTTTTTTGTAGAGACAGGGTCTTGCCATGATGCTCAGGCTAGTCTCACACTTCTGAACTCAAGAGATCCTCCCGTCCCACCCTCCC